TAACAATATTTGATTGTATTCTTGGGACCCAATCAAATACATTAGGAAAATAAAGAGTTTGGCTAAAATTTGTTTTTAATCAGTAAAAAAATTTACGAAACTGTGTGCCCATTGAAGACAACTGAGACAAAAAAAAAAAAGTAATGTGTATAGTAAATATTAACTATTTAGTATAAACCTACTAGTTCTTTTTCTGTGCACATACATATATCTGTAGGTATAGATAAAAGCAGAATCATACATGTAACTCATCCAACATATTCCTATTATATGCCAAGCACTGTGCTTTGAGATATGAGGGCTGTTTGAACTTTAATGATATGTATTATAAAGGCTATTTTTTTTGGAAAATGAATAGGCTAGAAATGTTGTTGGTGCCAGTATGCAAGTATATAACTAACTCAATTCATATTGAGTAGAGACAGGGAAGAGTAGTTGAAATTGAAAACCATGACTTACTATTGATTGTGCACCAAGATAATAAGACTTAATTTCAGAAATTCTGACTTGTCTGTAATGAGCATGTACAGTAGGAGTTTTGCAGGGTTGCCTAACATTACGTGGGAGTCTCATTTCTTCACAGAAAACTAAAAAAAATCCTTATTAAACTATTAACTCTGTAATTTTAAATTATGAACACCAAATTGTTGTTAGGTGCCATTGAGTCAGTTCTGACTCATGGCAACCCCATGTGTGCAGAGTAGAACTGCTGCATTGGGTTTTCAGGGTTGACCTTTCAGAAGCAGATTGCTAAGACCTATCTTCTGAGGTGCCTGTGGGTGGGTTTGAACCACTGACCTTTCTAGTAGTCCAGCTCTTAACCATTTGCCCCACCCAGGTTGCTTTGGTGTAAGCACAAAGGGATTTAGTTGGCTCATGTGACTGGGAGACCAGAGACTTCAGGTACAATAGGATTGGGCTCTGTTTTTTTGCTTTACTCTCAGGTTCTTTCCCTCATGGTTGCAAAAAACTGCCAGCATCAGCTAGGGAAACATGCTTTCTTGTTCATATCCAGAGAAAGTAGCCACTTATTGTTCTCTTATTAAAAGTGAGAATGACTTTCCCAGAAAGGTCCAGGAGCCCTTTCCTTGATCTCATTGGCCAGAATTGAGTAAAATTCTGAATTACAGTCTATTCCTAAACAAGTCACTAGCTAAAGGGTTGGGATTAATTGATCTCAGTCATGTCCTTCCCTTGAGCTGAGGTCATTTTCTAAATGTCATTCCTCTTAGTTGGGAAGGGTTGGAATGGCCATCAGCATGCCACTACTACTATGTAGGCAGCCCTTAGTGAAAGAGCAAAATCAACAGAATTAGCATTTTTGGATCACTTTTGAGTCACTAGTGACACAAAATAATACTTTGGCAATCTCTGGCAAGGAGTGAGAAGGCTGGCCCCAGGAACACCAGCATTTAACAAATGGAGAGAGCAAGGGGAGCCTACGAAACAGACTTTCCTACTGAAGTTATTCCGTTGCTGCTTTGATGTAGAATAAGACAATAGTGATGACCCCAGGCTTTGTTTCTTTTGGGTTTCTTTTTCTAAGAGAATAGAATAATTGCGGAAATACATTAAGCTTAGAAATTGAGATTTGAATTTATTCCTTAAGTAAAAAATATTCCTTGAATCTTTTGTTCTATGATTAAGCATTTTCTAATTTAAGAGAAGAAAATGACAACCAGAAGAAAACAAGTCACAAGTACATACTTTTCTGTGTCCTGCTTCGTATGTAAAGTTAAGCATCTGACCTTTGAGTAAGTTTCATATTTCTTATCATAAAACAGATTACAGAATGATTTTGGGAATAAGTAAATAGAGACTTTCCTTTGAATTTCCTTTTTCTTTTTTTTGTAAGTTGTGGCTGATCTTAGATTTACTTAAAATACAATGTTAAAAGAACATTCGTAAGCGTTATACTGATGGCATTTAACAATTTATTTTTAATTATGAGCTTCAGAAAACTATTCAGTTGGCTTGAATTCACCAATTTTAACAGCATAAGACATGTTTGATTTATCCAGTAGTTTTTCTCCATTAAATTTCTCTGTGT